GGTTAAACTCGCTGCCGACCACATAAAGCAGCAAATTGGCAGCGTAAGCCTCTGTTAACTGCCCACAGAGATTCAGAACTGTCCTAATTGGTGTACTCCCCAAGTAAATCCCGCTAAACGGGATCTATCCCGGGGAAGTTTTCCTGAGCCAACGCGCCCCAAGCTAACAAGTGTCTAGAGGTGACCCTCAGACGGGCACCGAGGCACTTCGGCGGGGCACTGCAGGAAAGCCTGCGCTGCCGCTGCCCGGCGGGCGCTCTGCGGGCTGTTTTCTGGGGCGTTCTTGAACCTGCACTGCCCACCGGAGCGACATCCATTGCAGGAACAGGAAAAATGTTTTAAGGCTACCTGACATCAGCACTACGGGAACCCCGTGGTTTCCTGCTGCGGCCTTCTTCAATTTTCTTTGGTGTCAAGTGGTAGCATTACAGCCTGACGAATTTTCTATGCCTAATCCCACTCAATTTGCAGTTTCCTGAAGAAAGAAAAGCGGCAGAGAAACTCTTCTAAAGGCAAAGTAATTATTTAAACTACTTCTTCTTTTCCAAGTTTTTAAAAGCTAAAACAAATTAAGATTAAACAAGTTAAACACACGCATGGGCCTTAACTACTAGCACTATTCAAACCTGAATTTTTGTCTATCAATCACAAAGAAGCTTCAAAAATAGTTTAAAAAAAAAAAAACCCCCCCCCAAACCAGTCCTGTCTTCCCCCATCTCTTTGAACTGTTCCACAGCCAAAATGAAGGCCACAGACACAGACCTACCCTCATGAGAGGAGAAGAACCAGGCCAGAGCTCACACTTCACACACACCCCCCAGCAGTAGCACTTCCGGAGCAAAAACCCTTGTGCCTTTCGCACCATCGCATCCGTCAACTATTCCAGGAGCTGCACCTAAATTTCCAAGACCGCGGCCTAAGTACCTCCCCCCTTTTATTCTCCTGGAAACGCCTGAGGTACACAATCCAAAAGACTTGCATCGAAGCTTAACGATTTCCACAATTAAGGCATGAGCCAGCGACACCAGAGTGGGGAGGAGGAGAAACAAAGCTCCCGACCCCAGCGAGTCTGCCACCGTGGGGCCTACGGCGTACGCAGACAAACACACGCGCCGTTCCCTGCAGTAACGGAACTACAGCTTCCTCCTCCAGCTGCTACAGTTACATTACTCTCAATCTTTGCGTTCAAAACATGGAAAGAAATCCTACAAAGGGTACTCTCCCTTTTTTTTTGTTGTTGTTTTTCAATGAAACTTGACTAGTCTGAATCAAAATTCAGAAAACATTTCATGCATCCAACTGACACGGGCAAGAAACCTTTTATAAAAATATACTGTATAGAAACACGGTTGGAAAACTGCATAGAAAATATCCTTTTATTTAAATCGAAATAAGGCACGGTTTTAATAGCTACGGTTTGGCTATGGAGACGCAAGTCGATTCCTTTCATGTTGTTAACAATATTTTCCATAAAAATATAGGCGCAGGAGTAAAAAAACCCTTTCGATACCGAGTAGGAAATATGCTATTGTAAAACTTGACCAAATTTCCCATGATTAGTTTGTAGAAAATTTGAATGCTATTCTCAATCAGGGTCCTACATGTTATTGTCCTCCAGGCTGCTCGCTGGCTGATGCTGTGCTTTCTTCATTTCCTGTGTAATCCAGGTGTTCCATCATCTACGTGTAAAAAAGAAAGGAAAAAAAAAACCAGATCAAAACGGAGCGACGGCTCTTCATAATGAAATACTGAATTTCCCCCATTGGTCCAAAGTAGTTGTTAGCTAAGAGAAATATAAAAGTGTGTTAGGGTGCATTTTAGGAGCACACAGAGAGTAAGTCCTCTACAGATCAGCCAAGTATTCAAGCCGAATACCCAAAGGTCTCTCCTTCCGCTACAAAAGCATTCTGCCAGCAAGGACCCAAGTCCTCTACAAGAACTTAAACTTATGAGTCAGAAGTGTCTCAATTATTAGAGACAATGAACAAAGAAACCAATTGGGGTTAAGCAAATTTTTCCAAAGGCACGGTTTGGAGAACTGGGAATAGGCCCTGGGATCCTACCTAACACTTACAGGTAACGAGAAGACTAGCGCTCTCCTTTCACCACGGTGAGAGCTGGCTGTGTCGCAGCGCGTAACGACTGGCTGTATCACCAATGTTTCTTTGGAAGTTTTCCTTTTATTTTAAAAGGGACAAAGGAAACGGAAATGTAAAGTCCCACAACATCTGAGAATCTAAACCAGGTGATTACAGAGACTGATTATACTTTCCAGTCAGTGTAGCTGGTTAGGTCACCTGAGCAGCGCTAAGGAACCGCTGTATTTTCCTGACTAGGAGCAGTCATACAATCACAGAACAGTTTGGGTTGGAAGGGACGTTAAAGCCCATCCAGTTCCAACCCCCTGCCATGGGCAGGGACACCTTCCACTAGACCAGGTTGCTCCAAGACCAGGTTGCTGGGTCCGTTTCCTTGCCCGCTGCTGTACTGCTGGAGGGCAGCAAAGGCTCTAGTTCCCCCGCCGCAAGGCATCGCCTAAGTCAGAGGTAACACGTTTTGTTTGCATGGCAAACCGAGACCCATCAGTTTGAGGGCGTCGGGGTTAAGCATAACGAACCGGAGGCCAAGGATCGGAGAGCTCTGACGGACGGCGACCACAGACAGCACACGGAAGCACTTCACATAGTGCCGAACGACGGGGCGTGCCAAGGAGCTCCAACGCCACGGGGCAGGATCGTTAGGACAAGGTGCCTTCAGCAGCAAGGTACAAACCCCTCCACGCGTCTCTCCGCAGTGGCACATCCTGCCTCGCAGCGAAAGGCTCCCTGTCTTTCTGGGGAACCGCCTGGGCTCCAGGCTGGGCAGACCTCACGCCACCAGGCCGGGATCGCTTTTCCTCTCTGACTAGCACCCGCCGGAGGATCCTTGGCGAGACGAAGCCAGGCTCCGACGCACTTTGGTGTGGGGTAACTCTATATAAACTCTATATATAGGGCCCAGAGAGTCGTTCATTAACTTCTGCTCCAGCCGTGACCCGCCTCCTAAACAAGCTGTTTCCCAATCCAGACGCACCAGCGTGCCAGGCAGGAAGCCGAGATGCCAGCTCCAAGGCAGACATGAGGCACGGGGACTTGGGCAAGGCTGAGGACAGCCTGGGGGCCACGACATCAACCTGACGAAACCAGACAAGGTCTTTCACGTCCCTCCCTTCACGAGTCAAGTTAAGAAGAATTAAGGCTCTAGTCTCGGCGATGCACCTACGAGCCGAGTTACAGCAGCGGCACACACTCGGACCGGCAGCGAAGACCAAGCTCCCTGGCCAACGACAATCGTTCGCTTCCATGCATCTAGGACTTTCCCCTGCACCGCGACCAAAAACCCACATCAAAAGTCACCCAAAGCAAAACGCTCCCTACAATTACGGAAGTCAAACCAGCATTTTGAATGAGGATTGAAGAGTTTGTTGCTGGGATAAACCCAACAACATAAACCTGGTTCGTGTATCAGATTTCAGAGTTTTAAGTTAACTTTAAAACCAAAATGGCTAGTAGAGCAGAAAGGGGTTGGGGACAACAGATGCCTTTCTAAAAGCGTAAGATTGCATAAAGCAGCTTCTTCCACGAGTGTAGCTCAGCTGTAGGTTCTCCCAGGACAACCCCATCCTCAAAGCCCCTGCAGAAGCTGCGGGAATCCTTAGGGCAACCAGCAGCAAGACGAAGGCACGGTGCTAAAATCCTGGACAAGGTTGCTTGGAGCCTTGAATGAGCCAACAGAATGGGACCGTACGTTGTGGAGAGCGGATGAGCATTTCTGCAGTGCAAGGGATTGAGAAACTGCTCTCCCACACCCGAATCCCACGGTTTTTAAGGATGGTTTTACATGTTATGTCCAACCTATCTCCTAATGTGGTGAACTATTAAAAAAAAACCCAAAAACAACCAGAAAGCCACTCAGAGCCAGACTAGAAATGGCAAGCCCAACTCCCACCGGCAGAGGAGTGGAGAGCACCCACGCACACACGCGCCTGCCAGGTTCACCCCGGTGCTGCTGCATCCGCGTAACTCTTCCCAACGGCAAGCCGTGATTAAATCGACAGCTGTGATTTAAAACCGCAGCGCTGACCAGCAGATGCACACTGGGTGACGCACCAGCGACAACGCTGTTGACGTACTGTTTCAAAGAGAGCCAAGAAAGCTCGTTAAACGCTTCAAACTGATGAGCTCTAGGCCTGCTCTATCAAGAAGGCTTCAAGGACTGCGTTAGTCTGCTGGATTTATCACGTTACAAACAGGATTTCGCCCGTTGTACCGACACATAAACGGTATTCTTAAATCGGTCACTGGGAAATTAGACTCACATCAGTTTGTCATGCAGGCATACAAGGAGAATGAGCAAACCAGAAACTTCACAGCAGCAACACCACCCGTCTGGTGGTAGGAAACGGGGTATGGTGCTCTCCCAAGAAATCCCTGTGCTTCAGGGAATAGTGAAAATGGTTTTCAGGGCGGCAACGCATTAGAGCTCAAGACTACGCCATGAAGGAAGCCACAGGGAGCACAACTAGAATTTAAGTCTGCATCATTCCGTGGGAACAGAAATGCCACCAGCTCGGAATTACGGGACCTCGGAGCTCTCTTAGGGCGTCATTTCCCCTATGTACCATGTGGAACCTAAAAAACTGATTCTAACGATCCGAGCCAAGAACCTGAGTGCACACAGCAGGATGGAAGAATTTCAAGTTATAAAAATACAGTCTGCCGATCTGATCTGAATTTGCACTCAACCCCTCCCACTTCCTAACCTCTTCTGGGGTTTGCATCTCATTTCTTTATTACTAAAGCTTTCTAATGAGGCTTATTTGTTAAGGTACACTTTGTTAGCGGGAAGCGGCTAGTGAGAAAAGCACTCTTCAGTTCAGAATTTAGGAGACAGGCAGGCAGAGCTCTCATCTCGGGCTGCCTCCAGCACACAGGGCGGACAAGCTACGCTTTACAAATAGGTGCGGAACTCCAGACCGATGACTGTAATTCAGGATGACATTTAAATGCTTCAGTTCTGCGAGAAGCTGCGATCTGACAGCGTGCACGCTGTGCGTGCTGCGCTCGAGACAGCGGCCAGCTAAAATAAACACCATTGGCGTTAGCAGCCACGAGCGACGGCCCAGCGAGGTTAAACCTCCTTGCTGCAGCCCAGAAACTCAGGCCACAAAAGCTGCTCCGAATCCTTGCTCCCCATCCCACGGCAAGCATCGCAGACGGCATGGCATAAGGCACACTGTTGGATACCAAGACGACAGAGGGGCTGTGGGCACGGTTACTAAACGCAAGTTAAAATGCTGAGCGTCGTACAGAGGGCGACAAACTGTCTAACGCGAAGCAGGTTTCCGTGTCGGTGCAGCGGCACAGAAGGATTAGGTGAGGGACTTCCATATGGGTAACAGTAGGGGAACTAATGCCAGGTCTAAATACCTGAAGACACTCCTAGGGATTTGGGAAATTCTAGACAGGCATACAAAGCCTGCCTCCAGGCTTAGGAATCATGGCTCCGTTGGTACTTTATCTTACGCTTTCCTGTATTCCTTTAAAGAAAGAGGGACAAAACCCCAAACACCTAAGCCTAGGAACGGCTTTATAGCTTGTCTTCACTTCTACCCTCTTCTATCGAATTAAACAGAAAAATTAGATAGACACAAAAAAGAATGAAGAGAGGAAGCAGAGGGGAAAAAAGAAAAACAGGAACCATAAGATGATTCATAAAGTTGCATTAAAATAAGGCCATAATCACACCTTGTAGCAAAGGCGTCCTGGAGGAGTCCGATACCTAAATAAAATTCAGTCCATTATTAAAATCATATACCACAAAAATCAGATCACTCCCAAACTCCAAAAAGCTAACTCACGGGCTACAAGCAAACAGCAGCGTGCATGGCGTTTAGTCACCTGAGACCCCGTATGTGCTCTTGTGCCCCTATTCTGAGGACACTTTGCTCTAAAGCTGCAAGGCTTCTCTGTTCCCAGGAAGAGAGAGCAAACCTCTGCAGAAGTCGGGTCACCCTCGTCAAGGGGGCAGCTCTGTACCCATCCACATTCCCATCGGTGCAGCAAGAGTCTTCTGTCACTTTTCCGTACCTCGCTCTCGCCCAAAGCTGGAGATTTCCACCCTGGGACTGTGTGGGGTTGGGGTTTGTGTTGCTTGTTCATGCTCCGGAGGGACAGATCGAGACACAGCTTTATGTGGGAGGACAACATGTGGGAGCACTGCAGCATTCCCAGGGCGCAACTTGAGTAACACCCTCCGGAGTAAAATGGGTACAGAGAAAGTTCTTCAGAAAGGTGTGGGCAAATAGGAGCTGGTGAAGTTACACAGAGGTAACTGTTCAGTCACAGTAACGGGGGGGTGGAAATCAACATTTTAAGTTGTGCCAGAAATTAAGCCATCTGACCTCAAAACAAACTGAAGCTCAGAGCTGTTTTAATCCTTCAAGAAACCAGTTGAAAGGACATGAAATAACTACTATGGCAACATAATTCTTCCAAGTATGAGTTCTGCTATGAGAAGTGCAAGAGATTTTTGTCACTGAAGAGACCTGCCAGATTTACTCAGGCCGGGCTTACTCAGCACTCCGGCAAGGAAAGGGAAGTGAGAAGCTCTTCTCCCCAGCAGTCCCAGCGTTACTGGGCTTCATGCGACACTGTTAGTTTTAGAACAGCAGTCACCAGTGGATGTACAAATGCATAGTCAGCCAAATTCTCCCTGACCTACAGAGAAACATTTCTATTCGCTGCACCTACGAAAGGAGTTGGTTTGGTAGACAAAAAGGCAGGATATCTAGTTAAAGCTGAAGATCTCCCGAGTCATTTCGTACCTCACCAACCTCCAGCTGAAGCAGGTGTGGAATACTGGATCAAGAAAAGGCAGCATTTATCCGGTAATCCTACGCATTTACAGGAATTACCACCACCTTGACTTCCATTGATCCACCTAAACCTTGCAATCCAGAAGCTGGAAAAGCAGCAGCTGCTCCCTTCCACCAAACACTTTCACCTCCAACTCCACCAAACACTTTCACATCACCCACCTCTGACCACCCACTCTCCGGGCCGATTCCACACAGCCTCGACCTAGGCGACAGTTGCTCAACTCCAACAACACTGGACTTCAGGTCTCAACCAAAACGTAATCCCGAGAGCGGCCTGTCTGAGGGCAAACGCCAGCTCACACGGGCTACGGGCACGCTGGGGTACGATAGCAAGCCGCACTGGGGAGCGCGCCCGTGGCAACGGGCGGACAGCGGTGGGATCGTAAGGGCTGCAGTTCCTGGGCAGAGTTGGAGATAACCGTGGGGGAACGCAGAATACCCCAGGCAGTGCATACACAGTGTGACTTTTCCTCACGAGTACTGAACCAGCTGCTTCCTCTCCCTTGAGTTCTGTTCTGCCGTGTCAAGCACAAAGATTTTCCAAGACTACTTTCCCTTATCCGTTCCAGAAGACAACACTAGCAAAAACTGGACTGCAGGTGATATTTTACCCTGTACTAAGGGAAGCATATACTGAAAGGAATTACCACAAAACACTCAAGGCATCCGACCTACCTGGTAACTGCTTCCTTTCCAAAACTTCTTCATCTCTTTGCGCCTCCACGCAACGAGCGAGCTAGTGATGAGCGTGCACGGTACAAGATAGAGAAGGGCCGGTTGTCCCATCTTCATTAATGCCAAAACAATGAAAGTCAGCACCATACCAACGGCATAAGCTATAAAAAGATATTTATACATAGACAATCAAGAAGAGGTGAATTTTGAAATCAAGTCACTCATTCCGCGAGCCAGAATCGTTAATTGGTTTAAAGGACCATCTTCCTTATTCATATAACTGAAGAGGGACAATAGGTTGCTGTCTGCAAGCTTTCTCAAGGCAGCTGACTACGATAAAGAATACTCACCTTAAATATGGGCAGGCACATGACAGAGATTATAGATTCTTGACAGCACCGAACCTTTACCTGCAGCAAACTACCTAGTTCTGCCCTCTGACAAACGCGAGCATGAAGCCCGCTGCAGCCTGACGATTTACCTGTTGTGCAGGAGATGTAGTACACAGAGGATGAACTTGTCTGAACATCAAATCTTCGACAATAGGCAACCAGAAGCCCTTGACACAGACACACAAAAAAGTAGGATTAATGAAATATTTAGCCATGATTATTTTTTCTCCCCAACCTTCAAAGTCAAAGCAGCATAAAAAGAATTTACAGTAAGATTTCCCATTAGTGTACGTTATTTATATCTGGACAGCAAAGAACCAGTTTCAGAAATCCTACGATAAGTCTTGAAAAATCCAAATGGCAATGCAAACATGAGCCAGGTGAGCTTGGTATTAAAAGCTTTTTGGGTTTGTTTGGTTGTTGTTTTTTTTTTTTTTTTTAAACCAAGCTAATTATATTGTGGTACTTTGAATTTTGAAGGCACTCTTAATACTTTCTTCAGTAGGATTTTAATGCTTGCTCTCAACCATCCACAACTGTGCCCCAGCACAAACCCCAGGAAGAGGGAGAGCGTGCGAGACGGTGCTTTGTGCCCAACTGCAGGAATTTGCTCAAGACTCAACTATGGCAAAATTCAGCTCTTCTGAGAAAGATGGAAGAACTTGATAATGCATTTTCCGTTACCTCACCTCTAATTAGGCAGTCCAGGATACAAAAATACTACGAAGTCACAGAATACTTGCTTTCTGTGAGATTTAATTAATACTGACAGCTGGATTTATTTGTGGGACTCGTATTTACACACATCCGTGCAACAGAAAAGCAAAAACCCTTCACCATTTCAGCGCTCTGTAACACGCTCAGCTTGCTTACGCTGCAGCTCCTTTCGCAGCCTGCGCCGGCAGGTTGGGGCAAACTGCCGCACTTGATTCGGCAGTTACTCGGCAGAACAAACTCTAACGTAAGTCAGTTGAGAATCAAACCCAAAAACCTTTAACTGGAAGTTACAACTGCCAAAAAACGTTTGCTCACCTGGGACGATAATGTCTCCAAAGCCCAAGAGTGAAAACGGCATGTTGCACAGCGTCGACGCGGAGTATTCAAGTCTAGGCACTCTAATAACCACAGGTAACTGTAAAACAGTATTTTAGAAGACACATAAATCTAATCTAAAGCATCCTGGTGTTACGGGGTTTTTTGGTTTGCTTAAATTAATAAACAGTTTAAGTGCAATTAATTAATTACGAATGCAGAACTTCAAAATAGGTAGAACCTACAGTAAAAACCAGAAACCAACATAGAGAGTGGACAAAGCTTAAGGCAACAGGCAAGATGGAATTTCAGATTTGTAAATAATATGCACATACCAAAAAAGAAAGTTTAACCAACATTTAATCACATAATGAGGATAACAAGTCTGGATTATTAACCTAACTATACAGTATTGATCAATGATATCCAGGCCCTGAAGAGAAATTTGGACAGTCAGGTTTTCCCCAAAAGAATAGTCTTTTCAGAGGGAATCATTTAAAAATCCAGTATCTGAAATACAATCCTTACTTTCTCATGGGGTTTCAGCAGGGACTTCCACCAAGTTTCCATCATTCTAGGATCAAACCCAAGTCAACAGGTATTTAATACTTAAAAGAAAATAGCAGAAGCTGGCTGTATTTTGTGAGAAAGTTATGCCGAGAAGCACACTATGGATTAGCTACGAAATGTCAGTATTTGGACGTTGCACAGGCTAAAACAACTACTCGTACCTTCTCGCTGTTTCCAAAAGGACCAGCTGCAACTTCAACCATTATACTCGCCCCATTCTGAAAATTAAGGTTGGTTTCCAAAAATTAGTGGTTTAATATACTGAAACACCTGTACTACATTTACAAAACTGCTTGTGCCTCACCTCGCAACGCGGGGTTGGAACAACCCTGCCTATCAAAAGGACTGCACTGGTATCGTACAGCATTGCACAGTATTGTTTTGCATCAAAAACATGTAATCCAGCCTAAAACAACTGTTTAAACCAACCCCCAAACAACAGCTCCCCTAGACGTAACTGGAAGTTTAGATCGAATCGCATCAGCTTTTTCTGCCAGGAGCTTTCTGCTTCAATAGAAAGGAGGGTAGGCGTGCGTACAGTCCACACTACGCTGCCGACCGCGCCGCAGAGAGCGACGGAGCACGTCCAAAAAGCAACAGGAGGAAGAAAACGAGAGGACAGTCATTTCTCATCATCGCACTGTGTCACACAACTGGGGGCAGCTTCCTTTTGGCCGTGTGATCACTGAAAACGCAGTCATTTAACACAACGTGTGGCACCTCCAGAGGCACCGGGCTCTGTGGCCCCTAGAACGTGAAAGTTTAGGCCACGGCTGTCTTACAGGGTGAAAAAGCAAAAGGAAGTCAGCATTTGTGCATCGAGAACGCTGCAAACGCCGATCTGTGACAAAAAATACCGCCCCAACGACCAGCCAACGTTATTTTACAGATAAATTCAGCCATACCTTTGTGATAAACGGCGTTATGAAGACAAAAAATACATCGTACAGAAGGAGAAGGCCTAGAAGGATCACACAGGACTGGCAGAAACAAAAAGGAGAAGAAACATTACCGTAGGTTTTCAAGGACTGCACGGTTGGAGTCTGGTGCCACTGCTGTGCCACCACGTTTTAAAGCAAAGGAAAACACCGACACGCACCCTCCGCCCCACACTTTTCTTCTGGCGTAGCATTTAGAGCAGGATCTACTTCCCTTTAATTACTAAAAATGGTAACAAAAAGCTGCTTCCTGGCACTAAACTTGCACATTGGTGGCATTAAAATACTTTCTTAAGCTAAGCAACTTACAGTACCTTAAAGTTGGGCATTTTCAGTGTTTTAATAAAGTTCAGGCAGAAAGCAACTCCCAAAATATCTTGCAAAATCCAAGCCCACCTAAAAATAAGAACACAGGTTTTTTTTTACACATTGTTCAAACTACTGCTGGGATCTAAGTGCAATAATGGGTTTCGGTTTTGCTGGAGATAGCAAGATCACAAAACGGATTGGGAAGGAAGAGTTTTGGTTTTAGGAAGTTTTGCTACCAAATCCACAAAAATACTAGTTTCCAGATGGTATCTCTGATGCCAAATGGGTAACTGGCCTTTATACTGGAGCTTCTGCCGGCCAACAAAAAGCACAGGTCCTGCAGTCCCCGTGCTATTATTTCCACTTTTTTCCTGTGGCAACCATTAGCGATCAAGCTAGTTCTTCCTCACCTTCTTAATTTTTTGCACTCCAAATTAACCACGCGGTCCATTTGTATAGCTTTGTTCTCCATTATTCCCAGGCTCGTTAAGCTTCACAAACACCTTCGTGACTTTCTGAAGCCAGCACCGGAGTTTAGAAGGATGCCATGCTCCGGGATTAGTTACACGATGGGAAGTTCATTAATGACAATTATTCCTACTACTCTTTGAAGTCAGGAGGCGTCACTTACCTATCTTCGTTTCGGAACACTGCCCAGACGACAGCCGCTGCTACGCAGAACGCAGCGAGAAAAATAAGCCTCACTTCGATGCTTTTGTTGCAACACGCAATCCTAAAAGAAAAGAATTCAGTTGAAAAAGAAAGCCTGCACCAACCAAAAGACGTGCCTGTGCTGCCACGGGTCCTTAAGCTGAGCTGGTGTCCTCCTCCCCAGGGCTTGTCCTGTGCCCGTCTGTTGCGGGACTGCAGTCCTCATCTGGGCTGCATAACGCACGCCCACAGACAGCGAGCCAAGCTGGGCTTTGGTGGGCAATCCTCGTTTTAGCAAACGCGCCCAGGGAAGGCGCCTCTCTCTGCCATGTGCTGCTGGACTACCTGGCACTAATATCACCTACTACAAAACAGGAAATCATAGTCTTAGGCTTCCTCGCTGATACGCATTGTTCTTCTGGGAAAAAGAACTATTTGTTGCATGAAACGTTAGGGTTTTTAAGGTGAAAATCCAAGGGACATTCCCATACCTGCAGGACATCTAACTCCAAGCAGTAAGAAGAGGCTGTTGGTGCACTGAGAGCCCACTATCCAAGCTCGGACTGTAACGGCTAAGGTCTAACGCGGAGGACACGAGCAATGCGTTGTCTTCGCAATTAAAAGTAAGACCTTGGGCTGTCACAGGTACAGAAGGGGTTAGGATGAGGGAAAAAGCCCTCTACGGCCTGTGGCACAGCACGGGCTGGAACAGCCCACCGAGGGCTGAGAACTCGTTAGCACCACCCTTGCTGAGCACACAGAGCACCTGCAGCATCCCCCGGCAGAGTTCTGCGAGGAGCAAAGTGAGCACACCCTGCGGGCAAGCAGAATGCTGTAAAACCAGGCTCAGACAACCCGGCAGACCCCGTCCAGTTTGATTATTTCATATGAGGGTAACGCAGCAAGTCCCCCACACGCTATTTTAACTGTGGATTATGCCACAGATACCTTTAATAGCTAGTAAAGGCGCCCAGAACTTTCCTTCGTAACAATCCCTCCCACACACAAAACAGCACAGGACACGATTTATCCAACTGCCCTCTGGAGTAGGAAGCAGAGGAGAGCCCTGCGTTTGTAACCAGGGAAAGGTGCACGGTACCTGCACTGCCCACAGGGGATTTCTCCTAGCAGCGCTGCAAGACAGTTGTAGAGACTCATCGCAGAGGCCAGGCAGAAGACGGATATTATAACGTACACTACAGGCAGAGGAGGGAAGATGGGAATCAGTGACAACGTGCAGCAGAGCAGAAACAGCGAACAGGACTTGAACCCAAGGACGTACGTCTGAGATCAGCTGTTAGCAGCTACAGCACCGCCCGACAGTCACTGGAGACGACAGTCAGCTGATTACCGAGCGTCCCTGCCATGGCAAGAGCTCTCAGCAAGCAGACACCCGAGTTTTGACATTTTTTAACTGAAAAGCTTTATTTTTTTAATTTTATTTTCCCTTCCTTTTCTTTCCGAAGAAATGCGTCACCTGTGACTGCTTTCACACCCCTTCATCTGGATATGGCAGAAACCCAAGGGCTGTTTTACAGCTACCAGCTTTCTCAATTTCCAACAATAGTCCCCACTTCAAATTTTCCCTTTAAGCCCTTTGTCTGCTTATGCATAAAAATTTCAGCATCCCCAAGATCTGACTGATGATTTAGGTGGCATGTTAAGATACTAAACACTCCGTCCCTTCCAAAAAGGTCTACGGAGCTAGGAACCACCCTGGTTAGGAAGAAAATACACTCCATGTTGTAACTTCTAGTATATTGTATATTCCACCTGAAATGGGGGAAAACAATAAACCCAGCCGCTGGCTACTTGGGCTTGGTTTGGGGTTTTTTGACAGTGAAGGTCTGGCTAGAAAGTAATTCTGATACCTGCGAGGAGATTACAGAAAAAATAGGCAGGAAAGGTGAGTTTTAGAGTAATAACCAAGATTAATGATGCCTGGACACTCACAAAACCTCCCAACACCGATATCAGGACCCACATTGACACCCTATAGCAGTGACACATCAAAGTGGGGGTTTTTAGGTTGCTTGTTTTTATTCAATAGATTTTTCCGTGGGACAGTGTGTCATCCTGTGGTAACAAGAAATTCCACGTGTGTCTGCTCCAAAGTGCACAGAACTAATGCTTCTTAGCTAAAAGCTATTACCTATTTTCTCTGAACCACTCACATTTCTTCCTCCCCCTAAGTAAGTTGTTTCTCCTCTCCCTCCCTCCTTCTAGAGGCCTCTTTCTTCACTTCTTCCCAAATCTCACCTGGACCATCTTGGAGTAAACGGGGGACATTTTCAACCTGAACCTTTTCATCACATTAAAAGGTCCTTCAGCCTTTTAGTGGGACAAGTTTAGTAAAGGTAGCACTGCCCATAGCCGAGATAACCAAAGCTAATCACACCCGGAAGTCAGGATGGTGAAGTTTCTTTTACAGAAGTGGGAGGTTAACTGGCACCAAATGGGAGGAAAGAATGCATCTGGGAAGCTTTCAGAGTGAAAGTTACACTCTTGGTACTGAAAAGTGTCATTTAAAGCAGTGTACATTTTCTGGTTGCATGGTTTGAGGGCAGAAAATAAAAGTTACCAAAAAAATACCTCAGCTAACAGTTTGGAAACTACTTTTTAGTGAAATGGCGTAATTCAAGAACTCAGCCTATTGCTGGCACGCCCGAGTTTATTCCAGTGTGGTAAAGCCATCTCCCCGATACTTTGTGGCCCTGCAGCCACACGCTCACCATCAATGCAGCAACCCCTAACAGAAGCTTTCACTCGAAACGCTACGGAGTCGTCGCTGCCATCCTCCCAAGAACGTCCACGGACACCATCTACTTCTTTACTGGTCGCTGCTCACCCCTCCTCCACATTCCTTCACCCAGAATAAGCACTGCCGAGGCAGCCTTTGTCAGGCAGCAGAAGAAAGCTGCTCTCTCTTTTTTTTAGTAGCAACCACATCTTTGCAACCCTCAACTCATACACGCAGAGAACAATTAAAAACGTCACCTTCGATTTAGTTTAGAAATCTGGCTTTTGGGACTTAGAGACCCAATAAGGTCATACAGAAAAATCAGTCGAATGAGATCACCCGTTGTTTCTTACCTAACCATTTGTAGAAGAAATAGAGTAGGACCAGCATGACACAACAGATGACAACAAACAAGATAACTGTTACAGGGGTGAAGGTAACGTTTTCTTCCTTCTTCCGTCTTGTTTCTCTCTCCCCAGGGCTTGCTACTGCTTTCAAATTCTCACTGTTACGAGAAAACAACACACAGTTGCCTCAGATGACAGATTAGGAAACCGTTTTATTACGCCCAGAGTTGCTGGGTATAAAGCGTCGAGTCCAACACCGTTTCAGTCTAATCCTTCACATCATTATTAGCCTTAAAAGTGACAGAAAACCAAAACCCTGATCCCCTTGAGGAGAAGGAGCCCGGTATCAAAACTCCTAAACTCGTTTTAACTCAACTCTGAGCACATCACCTCTGACTGCAAAACTTCATGTATCAATCAGACAAGCACGTCCATGATAAACCCAAATCACAGGTATTATGCTCTGTTAAAACAGACATTAAGTGTCTGCAGGAAGCACTCTCGTTAGCAGTGTGAAGCTGCCTAAGTAGGAGTTCTTTTACCCTTAATTACAGAGTAAACGAAAGTGAGGGGGTGTAATTGGGGATCTTCACCGGGAGTAAGATTTCTGTGCAGACATACTCCATATTTACACCTCGCCATGCAAAATAAGGAGACTTAAATTGCTGCCTTTGTTCTTGGGGCAGATAGCTCTGCTCCTCTCCAGCACAGACGCTAGTGCAACTTGCCCATCAGATAGCACGTTCCCGACGAATCCCAGGCCCTACCTACGAAATGCTGAACCACTGAAACAGCTACCTTCAAAAGAGAAAAACCCACAGGAATAAGACACTTTGAATGAATGAATCACCTTCTCGGAGGACGTGCTTTGAACAAGCAGCTCTTAAGAAAAAAGCAAAGCTCACCCTTCATTTACGAAAGTGCACTTCAACAGGGTTAATATAATTACATTTAGGTATTTTTCAATATGGGAGACAGCATCACATTTTGTTACGCTCGCGCTCAGCGCAGTCACACCCTACAGCACTGCAGGGCAGAAAAGCAGCATAATCAGATCCAGCCTTTAAAAAAAAGAAACACACACCCCCTCCCTTCCTTCTACATCTTTAATCTCTTTAAAATCACTAGATTTTCATAACTAGTGGGAAAGAGGAAGCTGTTGTTATCACAGACAATCCACTCCCTGTGGTTCTGCCGGGGAGAATGGGAAGGAAGCCTCAGGTGGTATGGCACAGGGGCCCAGTCAGCAGACCCAGCCACCCAAGAAATCCTGCCGGATAATGCCACGCTCCTGTAGGCCAGCTTCATCCAGTTTGGCCCCAGACTGAAGTCAGTTCTGCGCACTGAGCGTGCCTCACCTCGCTAAACGAAGCCGCACGCCCCTCAAGCACAGCGCAGGATCCCCTACCACCCCTCGATTCCCTGCATTTGCCACATTCCACACTCCCTCCGCTTCCCCGCGCAGGGACTGCTGCCGCTTCCTTGCTCCTGCTACAGCCCTGGCTCTGCTGCTCCACCAGGTAACGCACGACCCTCGTTGGTCTTTAACTGCTGGAGCCGCTCGGACACAGCCGAACCGCGTTCCCCAGTGCTCCCAGTGACAGGAGCAGAGACACCCCAGAGGACGCTGCACAGCCAGCTGGGACGAGGCAGTTGTACAGAGCCCTGCCAGCGCAGACAATACGTACAACGCCGTAGGGACCTCTTGGATTGCTGGATTTTGAAGCTGTCATTAACATACCTACTGTCTGTCCTGGATATTGGAGTATTCTGACACTAGTTTTGGGTGCCTGGTCATCTGTCAAAATGTTAGCTCATTTCCTCCTCCCAAGAGCTGCATCATCCCTCGTGGACTTTCACAATCTACTACAAGGTTCCTCAAATACCTACGGTGATTTTTCACAGGCTGCAGTGCTCAGATGTTTCACGGCAAAGCAGCTAACGGCACCTAGATCTTCGCATGTTTAACCACCAACCTAAAAGAACGTAATTCCTCACCGATCACAGTCACCGTTTTCACATGATTTGTGGTTCACGTAATTTAAGGAGTTGTGTTTAACAAACTTACAGTTCCGCTACTCCACTCCAGTAACCTCCCAGTGCCACGGTGAACACAGCAATCAGGAAGATGACAACCATACTGCAGTCGAACTCTGGCAAAGGGGGCGAGTAGAGCGTCACATTAACTTCACTTCCAAGCGTCTGAAAAATAACACGCAAGCTGGTTCACAAGGGCAACGAAGGAATCGTACGGCTCATTGTAATTGTACAAAAACCCGGAAAGCAAACCCAAGATGCTTCCATTTGACTGAGAGACTTAAAGGAAGGATGATAATTTGACGGGCAATGGGGAAGGTGGTAGGGAAGGTTTGCTGGTGTAGTCAAAGTCAGGCATGGCACCTAAAGCAATCCCGCAGTGAAAACAGGCTGCAGCGAGGCAGAACACCAGGTTTGGTAACAGCCGGGATGTGGGATAAAAGCAGGAGAGGAGATGAACATGCCAGGCAGGTCTGGCTACAGGAGGATCAAACTGGTAGAGGAGAGACGCATGGGAAGCTGGGTAGTGCTGTGGAATACAATGGCTGCATGTGAAGAGAGCTGATTCATTTCAGCATCCGAATTATCTAATTACAGATATTAACCTTACTGCAGGCTAAAGAACTCAGAATTAGTTCTTTGCCTGAGGTGATGGAAGTTCAGAAAGCAAGAAAGAAAATTAAAATTCTAGTGAAACACTGCTGTTGTATGAAGTGGAACATAACATTAGCAAAGGCAAAAATACCCTATTCAAATTACAGCATCCTATATGTAAAAAACCCCCAAACCAACCCCAAAACACAACCAGATACAAAAAAATAAGGACTAAAAAACCCCAAGACACATAAAGGATGATACATTTTTTCACATTCAACTCCAACATGTCTTAATCCAGTTTTTCCTTTAAGTTTCATAAATCTTGTAAAGTGTAATTCACATCAGAAGCTGGAGTGATCATCTCCTTCTGTTCCTACTGTTCTGCTCTTTGCTGAAAACTTGCCAAGTCTCAGCTTCCACCACAGGGAGCACTGGAATCACACCCATGGCATCCGGTAGCACCTCTGCAAGAAAGCTGCCCGCTTCCCAGGAGGCCTGTAACACTAACTGCTACCAAGACTCATTACGTACCCGACTGGTGAACGCTAACAGAGGTGAAGCCCTCTAAGAAAAAGCAGAAAGAACGCTTCTACAAAGCAGCCACCCTCAGACTGGCACTGTCTGTCTCTTCTGACTAAAAGGAGAAAGTTGGAAACCTTTAAGAGAGTAAACCAGATGTACAGGCGTAGTAGGAAGTGTACAGTGGCTGCCAGCTCCTAAGCAGCACGTATCATTCGGAACAGCCGTCAGTGAGGTGACAGAAGGCTTTGGCAGAAACGACATCACTGCTAGGAAAGGGTCACTTGTAGTGCGGAACGTAGCCTAGGCTACTTTTATGAAGGCGATCTCATCAGAAGACAAAACTGGACTCTGACCAACAGCAGTATGAGGCATCACCTGGCACACTGACCTACTAGCAAGTTACTCTGGTGCATTACTACAGCTATACAAAGCGATTCCACATGACACCACCCCAAGCAGCACAGGGTAGTAAAGTGGTGCGGAGAAGATTCACAACAAATTAGGGATCTAACCTTGCCCTACTTCCCTTTCACGTTAGCAGGGCACATCTTCAACCCGCTGCACTAAGCAAACACCACTTCTCTTGCTTCAGGAGACAAATTTCAAGAAAGAGGGCCTGAACCAAAACACAGTACTCATCAAGGTTGTAGCAGACCAAGGAGAGTCATAGTGAACCTTCAGCCACGTCAACGCTCGGCAAGAACCGATCTTTAGTGGGAACAGACAGCAAAGAACCAAAGGCCTATACACCCAGGCACGGTTCCGGCATGCGTACTTGCCTGAGCCCAGCTCCCACGGCAGCTCTGAAGGTTAGGAGCAGAAACGGGGAAGTGAGCTTGCAAATCCCGTCCAAGAAGCTAAGGCTGTTTAACACTGAATGACAAACCAAACCAAAACAAGAGAAAAAGCCACACTGAAGAAGAGAGAGTGTTTTCTTTAAACCCTCTGCAATATTCTGTATCCTACTACTACGTATCGAGGAAAACAAACTCCAAACACCCCCCAAAAAAAACTCCCTTGCTTATGAAGTGTAAGAGATACCACAACTGCCACATTTTAATGACACGTGCTTGGCATCGCACCATGAACTCATCAGTAGAACATACTGCCTAACTTCTCTGTAACAGGTGCTGTCAGGCTATAGAGAGAGCGCTCATCGTCTGGCAAAGACAAAAACCCCTCACACCTTCCTCAAGACCCAAGCTGGCAAGCTACTGCTTCCCTGAAGGAGGTCAGCTCAGCTGCTGTACCTGCTGTGCTAAAGGAACAGCCCTCCCGGGCTACAGCTCTCAACCTACGTCAGGCACTGCAACTGTACGCAGTTCTGTACGAAGATGCTCCGAGGGCTGGAGCCCCTCTGCTATGGGGACAGGCTGAGAGAGTTGGGCTTGTTCAGCCTGGAGAAGAGAAGGCTCCGGGGAGACCTTATAGCACCTTCCAGTGCCTGAAGGGGCTACAAGGAAGCTGGGGGGGACTTTTTACAAGGGCCTGTAGTGACAGGACAAGGGGTAACGGGTTTAAATTGAAAGTGGGGAGGTTTAGATTTAGATATCAGGAAGAAGTTCTTCCCGGAGAGGGTGGTGAGGCACTGGGACAGGTTGCCCAGAGAAGCTGTGGATGCCCCATCCCTGGAAGTGTCCCAGGCCAGGCTGGATGAGGCTTGGAGCAACTTGGTCTAGTGGAAGGGGTCCCTGCCCATGGCAGGGGGGTTGGAATTGGATGGTCTTTAAGGTCCCTTCCAACCCAAACCATTCTGTGATTCTGTGATTCTACGGGAAAGCCACATGTCTTGTTGAGATGGGAGACTTTGAGATTAATCTCTCTCCAGTTAGACATTATGCTTCCCATTCTTAGTGTTCTAATTAATCATTCTCTCAAATTAACCCCAATTAGGAAGACCAGCACCTCCATGACTTCATATCCATCCTCTTCTGTGAAACCAAAAGGAGGACCCGTGCACATTCAAATCATCACACCCATATCTGATCCGACATTATTTTATTTATTTGCTCATAAACCTAGATGAATACAAAGCGTAACACGCTGTGGTTCTGACACTTACCATCTGCATATCTACTATGTCATCATATCTTATAAGAGCAACTGGGAGAGTCACATCTTCAAAATCAGTCTTGTTATCCGAAAGAGGAGACTGAAAGAGAAAGCGTCAGCGGAAAGTAGGTTGAGCTGATTTGCAAAGTGGGTTAGACCCCCCAGGGCAGATAAACCTTTACATTCCAGTGTATTTGTAGGAAGACAAAAACACACCCACAAAAACAAGAGCTCAGTCATCACCTTTTACAAAAGGTTCATGCAGACAGATGTACTGAAAGCAAAGCAGGTGATACTACCAACACACACAGATTCATATCGAAGTGGCTGGAGCCCCTCTGCCATGGGGACAGGCTGGGAGAGTTGGGCTTGTTCAGCCTGGAGAAGAGAAGGCTCCGGGGAGACCTTATAGCACCTTCCAGTGCCTGAAGGGGCTACAAGGAAGCTGGGAGGGACTTTTTACAAGGGCCTGTAGTGACAGGACAAGGTGTAACGGGTTTAAATTGAAAGTGGGGAGGTTTAGATTGGATATCAGGAAGAAGTTCTTCCCGGAGAGGGTGGGGAGGCACTGGAACAGGTTGCCCAGAGAAGCTGTAGATGCCCCATCCCTGGAAGTGTCCAAGGCCAGGCTGGACGAGGCTTGGAGCAACCTGGTCTAGTGGAAGGTGTCCCTGCCCATGGCAGGGGGGTTGGAACTAGATGGGCTTTAAGGGCCCTTCCAACCCAAACCAGTCTGTGATTCATGAAGTTCTTGTGCTTTTACAGTATTACAAGGGATAATCAAAACTCTGGTTTTAACTCTCTATGCTTTCAGAACAAGATTAACTCTGGGATAATCCCAGAAATTCATAAATTGCAAATATTTGTACATGCATGTTGCAGCTGTAATAGAGAACAGAAAAAGCAGCAGAAGTACCTGCAAAGATACCTCAAAACACCTTTTTTTTTTTTTAAATTTCCAATTTTGGATTACATTTTCCTAGCTCATTCTTGTCTCACACACCTAAACCAGTACCACCTGAGATTACAGGGAGCTCCGCGTACACTAAAACGAGGGACTGGCAAAGAGAAGCATTTGCATTCAGAAATGCGATACAGGGAACGGATTAACCATTCGATTCAGCTGCAGGTGACAGGACGCAGCGCTGCACAGGGCTAACTCGGAACGACCCCCTCGGTCTCAGCGAGAGCCAGCGCAGCACTGCGGGGACGGTTAACGACTCTCGCTGGAGTCCAACGCGCTGCCAGGCTCCGCTGCTTCCGGGGCTGCTCTCCCCTAACCCCGCACACAGCGCGTCACGCCGAAACGACGGAAGAAAACTCTCTGTGGGCACTTACCAGCCTAGGTTTACTGGCAATCAACAGCATCTTAGCACCCAAACTTTGTGCAATTCTTGCTTTCTCCAAAGAAGTGCAGTTTCCTCTCATCACCACAACTGCCTTGTCCTTCATTACGCCAGAAGGAACTTCAGAGTTGTTGCAGAGTACTGTAGTGGTGAGGTTTTCCAGCGCCCTGAACGTCTGCAGAGAGAAGAGGGAGAGAAGGAACGTGAGGGAAGTAGGAAGTTGGATACTGCAAGCCGAGCTACAAGGCTCCATCACTGCGCTGCCCAGTTTGGGGTTTGCCAGAAAGAGGCCCTAACAGCGAGGAACCCTTAACTCCGGCATCTGAAATCAGCGCGGCAGTGTCCGCAGGCTGCGATGCTGGCGGAGGCTTACGGCAGCGTGCAGCCGAAACACCTGGCTGTTTCTAAATGCCATCTCGCAGCGGTTGTTGCTGTAATTGAAACATAAGGAACAACAGGTTATAGAGGGGAAATAAATAAATCCATCAATACAATTCACTGCTTATAGTTCTGGGGAATCCAGTGTACACCCCATGACATTTCCAGGCTTCCCAAGCCCAAAGACCACTGACTGATACAGCACAGTCAGAGTTCTGAAGCGTTACACTCGTTCCAAAGGAGCTGGCGAACCTGGTAACATCTTTCTTACTACAAGAAGGATTTTATCCCCATGTCAATGTTCAATTCCATACTCGCCATGATTTATAAATTACTGACAGTTTTCTTTAGTTCATCAAGCCACCCCAGGGGCCAAACAGCAAGATGTTTGGGGCAGACAAATGATTTTTACTCTGACATTGAGTTAACCCACTAATGAATGACAGAAGGGAAGAGAGAGAAGAGCCTTGGTCACTTCCAAACCCAAAGCATTGCCTGTTTATACAAAGAGTGCCTAAAGAAAATTTGTTTCTGCCTCAGGCCCCAGTATGGCTCAAAGAAACACTCTCTGAAAACACAACACGATACATTCCACCTCATCTCCCATTCCACCATGTGTCTGCAAGACAATTAAACAGGAGATGAAACTGATGAACCCATGTAAGAAATCTGTTTCCCAAGTTTGTGACATTTTTCTAAACAAATAAACTGAAGTTTTACTCCCAAATCTAAAAACTTAGACATCCTGATAACTCCTGAAGAAAAAAATTAACAGTCTCAGATGTAAATGTATTTAAAACAGGTTCTAAGCACAGAGAAAGTACCACCTTTGTAAACTTCAGAAGCTGACTCTTGAAAGTATAGAAAGATTCACTACATACATTTTGGGGAGGGGGGGTGGGGGTGTGAGGAAGGGACACCACGTGACCCCAAAAGGTAAATATTTCATGTAGTGTTTAACTCAAAGTGTTGAGGACCAGTCATAGCTGACCCAAGCTCCTGCTGCATTCTAGCTTTCTTGGGGAGTGTGATTACAAACTGCTTACAGCATTGTCCAGGCTTCCGGGGAGAGAGATCCAATTAGAGTTGTAAAGTATGCAGTAATCCTTCGTTGCTGGAGGTATCCCGCTCCCAGAAGCGTGCAGGATCCCCTCCTGCGCAGCCACCTGCGACAGAAACAGAGATCAGACGATCAACATACAGGCATTCTTCTAAAAAGCTGTTCGGAGAAAAGGAGTTTGTTCAATTAACAATTTCTGTAAAGATAGATTCCATGAGAGCAGGATGGAAAACTAGTAAGAACCCAGTCGCCGTCTAACGCCGCTTATCCTCCTTCCAAACGCAGCGTATTTGCTACCCGAACTGTGCATGTCACCCAGCAGAACCCCAGCAAGAAACCCAAACGGTTTCAGAGTCTGTACCCTGTACTGGCCAAAAACCGTAAAACTTTACACCAAAAGCAGTTAACACAGAACATGGACGAGTGGATTAAAGTCTTTCCTTCCTTGCAGACTCTAGGATGTCCCCTGCTGAATTATGTTGGCAACTCCTAGGCTATTTTTCATCAAATTGCTGTCAACTCAGAGATCAACTAGTGTACTTTGAGAGTTTGTGTAGTCTCTTAAGATTACTCTCAGACTCCCTCCCATAACATGATTTCTGTTATTTATATGACTTTTAAAACTTCTGCTCATTTTAGGGATATATACTTCTCCCTAATCACTAATGAAGGCCAGGTATCCTAAGTGGATAAATGAACAGACGAAGGATTAGATGTAGCTACAGCTGCAAAGCAGTGAAAACAAACCAGCATCATTCACATCTCAAACAAGTGACACCTTAAGAACAGTGGGACATGATCCCATTCTGGCTGTTCTGGAGAGAGACCGACCTCAGTACCAGGAAGTATCAACAGATTAAAAGAAACTGGGGGATGAAAAGCTGAACATGAGCCGGCCGTGTGCGCTGGCAGCCCAGAAAGCCAACCGTACCCTGGGCTGTATCAGGAGAAGTGTGGCCAGCAGGTCGAGGGAGGGGATTCTGCCCCTGTACTCTGCTCTGGTGAGACCCCACCTGGAGTGCTGCGTCCAGCTGTGGAGCCCCCAATATCAGAAGGATATAGACTGGTGGGAGCGAGTCCAGAGGAGGCCACGGAGATGCTCTGAGGGCTGGAGCCCCTCTGCTATGGGGACAGGCTGAGAGAGTTGGGCTTGTTCAGCCTGGAGAAGAGAAGGCTCCGGGGAGACCTTATAGCCCCTTCCAGTGCCTGAAGGGGCTACAAGGAAGCTGGGGGGGACTTTTTACAAGGGCCTGTAGTGACAGGACAAGGGGTTACGGGTTTAAATTGAAAGCGGGGAGATTTAGATTGAACGTTCTTCCAAGAAATTCTCCCCACAGAGGGTGGTGAGGCACTGGGACAGGTTGCCCAGAGAAGCTGTGGATGCCCCATCCCTGGAAGTGTCCAAGGCCAGGCTGGATGTGGCTCTGAGCAACCTGGTCTAGTGGAAGGTGTCCCTGCCCATGGCAGGGGGGTTGGAACTGGATGGGCTTTAAGGTCCCTTCCAACCCGAACCATTCTGTGATTCTATGAAATCTAAATCCTGTTGTAACCTCCAGGTTTGTCTGAAAGAATGCTGATGTTAAGCTAGATGTAGGCATGGGTAAATGGGGGAAAGCCCAAATATTTGCCAGCCCCACAGTGCTCATCATTAGCAGGCTATGGAGGCATTTCTCCTCAGGCTGGCGTATCCGTTTGCTGCCGCAAGGGAGAACGAGAGCGAAAGGAACAACGTGCAACGATATTGTTTCAGGGGTTTCTGTCTGCCTGGTGTGAACAGCAGAAAACCTCCTTCCGAGGAATCCATCATACTGGCCGTAGCATGGGAACAGCTGATGGGAGAACTGTGTCAATGGGCCCAGGCACATTAACTGTTTAACGTGGAACAGCTCCTCGGCCGGCAGCTAAAACACGCTGTTCCAGGAGACACGGCCAGCACAAAAACCATCATGATTCCCTCCTACCTCAAAGCGTAAGCTAATGGCAAGTTAAAAGCAATAAAGGTTTCCAACAGGTGCAAACCCCAGAGGTTTCCATCCATTAAAAGCTCCTTCTGCTTCATGAAGCAGAATAATATGTGTTTTCTGGATTCCCGGAAATCAATTGTTAATGCCACCTAGAAGGAGCTATTACTTGCTTGGTTGATACGGGTGTTTTGGTTGGCGAGCTTCCCTTCTCCGGGGCTGAACCAGGAAACACAATTCTTGCTCAGAGGCGAGGGAGGGAGGACCGGAGCGCGACGTTTGCCCTCGCGTATTCACCACCGAGCACTTGGAAGCTGAAAATGAAACACGACGCACATTTCTCTTGGAACGTCCCCGCCGAAATCCTGTCGCCTCCAGCTGAACTTTCCTTATTTTCTAGTTGCCTGAGTATCCTGCTTTAAACAAGAGACAGGGCTACTGGTCTGGGTACCCGGCCTTGCACTCAGCCCTGCCACTCACCAGCACCAAGCAAGCCTTGCTCTCAGAACACGCGCGAAGCGGAAATCTCTTACCGAGCCCGTTGTCAATCTTGTTACTTCAGTAGAAGACTACAAACGTGGCCACAAAACCGCTCCCAAAAGGATTAACCTGCTTCTCCAGGCTGGCCTGCTCCAGCACAGAAGCGTTTCCAAGAGGAGCCGAGGCGGAGCAGCCATCCTCCAGACAATTCCCAACAGCCCCTCACCTTCAAACCAACTGCCTCCTACCTTGGACAGGTGGTTCTCCCCTCTGTGTCCTTCCTTTACCGCCTTTAAACTTTTCTTGTATAACTCCCTGTCCCTGACAGGGAGAGGACACCTCTCCACCCTCACTTTCCCCAAGACGTGGCTGTCACTGCAAGGACAGAAGGCCGGGCCGACTGCTGAGCTTCGGAGCGCCCCGGTAACCCCACCACGCAGCGCACGAAGCTGTACGAACCCGCAGACACAGAGAGCAAACCAAGCATTCATGACATCCATCACGGTTGGTCCAGGGAAGACACGAGGTACAGAAGAGGGAGAAGGTATTTTGTGTGTCACAAGTTACCACATAAACCTCACAGAAACGTAAAAAGGCAGGATAAAAATGGCTGTGAGGAGAACAAGCATCATTTTGTAGTTGTGCCAGCAGCCCTGGGACACACACAGACTGTCCCTCTCGATGGGTGCTGTGACTCAGGGTGCCCCAGCTCAGGGACCAGCAGCCTGTCCTTCCCCAGACACCGACTTCCTTCCCCCAACTCCCCAGCTGTCAGATACAGCCCGGCGTCAGGCTCCCCGCTGCTACGGCTGTGTTCCTAAGGCCAAGGAGGGCAGGACACGGGGTCTGGAGTCTGACAGGAGGGCGGGAGGAGCCCCTTCCCTCGTCAGCGGCAGCAAAGCAGCGGGTTAAGGAGTGACACCAGCCGTCAGGCAACCCCGACACAACCACCGACGGCTGCGTGGGGCTCCCCAGGAGCGAGGGAAGGCTTCGCTGGGGGACACAAACCTTCACCAAAGGCACGGACAAACCGCGCTGTGCACCTGCTGTCGAGCGTACCCAGCGGTGGCTTCCTACACGGGAAGCACTCTGCACCCTCGAGTGCCGCCCCTTACCAAAACAAGCCAAGACTACGTTAAAACCAAGCAACCAACCAACCAACCCAACAACAGCGCAACTTGGCGGAGCAGCACTTAACGCAGCTCTGCCCTTCGTGAAGTTTAGGGAGATGCCGGGAGCTCCTGGCTCCTGTTTCACGACTCCTGGGCAGAAAGTAACGCGCCAGACCCCGGCGCGATGTACCCGCGCGGAGAGGAGCCGCAGAGGGGCCCTGCACAGGCCCCAAAAGGTCAAGGGGCCAGAGGGCAGGGGTCACACGCCCCCCACGAACTCCCCTCTGCCCCCGCATCCCGGCTGAAACACCCCTGGACACCACACCAGCGTTCGGCCCGGCAAACACCCG